AGACAGGAGATGAGAAGAGAGATTTTACAGTCTCTCTGGGGGGTGAGGAAATATCTCCTCTTCAGCACAAAACACTTGGATTCCACACCACACCACCATCCTACAAGCAGCCTTTGACAAGGGACCATTACTCCAGCCTGTGGGTGGGCAACATGGTGTCTGGGAGTCTGGCCTGCCACACCTGTCCCTTTTCTCCCTGTGTGAGGACTTCCTGGATAGAGGGACACACTGTCCAGAGACAGCCCTACGGCCTCCTCCTTCCACATCCTCTGGTTCCCCCAGGCTCAGCAATTAAGTCCTGGGATCTTGCAACCCCAGGTGACTCTGTGGAGACCCAGTCTCAGAGGGTGGCTGGCAGGTCCCTGCCATCAGACCCTGACAACCTGGGGCAGCTGAGGAGTTTCCGCTCTAGCCTCCCTCTTTGCCCTGGGTGGGCAGAGGATTCATAAAGCCTGGGCCCTCTCACCTTCTCCTGTTTTGAAGCCATCTCATCCCCTACCACAGCAGCCTCCTCAACCCATCATCCTGTCCCAGATCCCATGTGAGGCTGAGGTGACCCCCATGATGGTGGGCTTGTGCAATAGGACAGATCTTTCTCCTCTGGGCCCTTGCCTGAGCCTTTCCATCATCACTGTCCAGCCACCTCCTCCTCCAGTTACCCTGAGAGAGAGACACCAGGAGCCAGCTAAGGAAGCCAGGAAGTGAACCATGCCTGCCGGCCTCCTCCAAGACTGTCACCGAGGCTCCTCCTCCATCCAGCAGAGTCAGGGAAGACTGGGGCTCACACAACCCCGCCCCCTCCAAAAGGCTTCCAGTGGCCCCTGGGTCCAGCCACCAGCAGGCAAAGGCTCAGTCCTGGCTCCAACCAACAGCCTACAGCACAGATGGAGCTGACACACAGAGATGCATACATGCGTGCACATGTGTGCACACATATGAAGTCCATGCACACATCTGTACTCAAATGCAGTGTACATAGTGCAATGTGCATGTGTGTATATATGCACACATAGATGTATATGTATGGATTAGGCACACACACATAATATCCATCTGTGCATGCATGGTCATACGGTCACATGTATATGCACACACACTCACTGTACATATCTGCACACAGGAGACACATGTAATCCATGGGCCCACAGTCTCGCTCTGAGACACACACTCTGAGCCAGGACTCAATAGTCCCACAAGGGGCACACAAGCCCTCCCAGACACCAGGGAGCCTGGGGGAGGCTCCAGAGGCCCAGAAACCCAGGGCACAGAGCAGGACACAGATCTAGCCTCTGAGCTGTTCACAAGTCTTCTTGGGGCATCCCTGCTGTAGACGGAGGCTGCAGTCCCATCCCAGTGGCTCTCACTATGCTAGCAGAGGTTGGAGGCAGCTGGCCTCTCCCGTCCTGTCCCTGTCTTCAGCAGCTGTCCTAGGGCCCAGGTTGATCAATAGCACCTCCCCTGGACTTTGATGTCCTCCTCAACAATGCAGCCTGAGAGTCAGGGTTGGTGAAAGCATCATCAGTTTGGGTTGAAGCCCTAAAACTGTGTGGTGTCCCCACCACACACACACACCCCGCCTCCTAAGACTTGGTCTAAGGCTGTGGTCCCACACACTGCCCTATCCACCGCTGTCCATGGGGTTCACCAAGCTGACACCGCCCCTAGGACACCCCATCCTGCAGCCCTGTTGCCCCCACTACCCTCCTGTCCAGCCTGCTGTGGGAAAGGCCATCCACCAAGATGGTCACTCACTGGGCAAAAAGAGGTCACACCCATGTCCCCCTGAGTTTCTACACTTGTATTCCACTGTGGCGGCAGCAGGAGAGTCCAAGGCACCGAGGTTCCAGCATCCACCAAGTCCAAACACTCAACCGGGTTTGTTTGTTTACATCATTTGACACCGTAACTTTGGGGACGGCGCTAGGTAACCCTGTTTTGCTGGTGGAGAAGCAGCAGCATCCTGCCCCATCAGTTGCAACCATAACACAGGGTGGTCAAGCAGGCACCCTCGCCCACCCAGCCCCCACTTCCCATTGCCAGAGTGGATCCAGGAGCTCCAAGGTGGACAGCCTCCCTGAGGGGCTCCAGGTAGGGATGTTGTTTGGAGCTATCGTGTTTAACATTTCTCAGTTTTTGCTTCCAGCACGCTAAATACCAACACCAACAACCACAATGATAGCCAACACTGCTTGGGGTCCTGAGATCTACAGCTCTTCTTGCGGTCCCAGTGTGCTGCACCGCCCTCCTCCCTGGTGGACAGCCGAGGTACTGCTGACTCCTGCCACCTTCAGTGTCATGATTTCTGTCTCCTCTACTCCAGAGCCCTCCCGTTCCATGGCCCCTGAACTGGGGAGAAGGGGAGGCATGCAGCGAGGAGTCAGACCCAGGAGAGTGGATCTTTCTGTACTGCCTTATCACCTGTCTTGAAAGTAGAACCCTAGTCTACTCCTTATCTCCAGGATCAGGGTCCTTAACCCACTCCTGTCCTCACTCCCTCTTGGTGGGGTCTGTGCCCCCATTCCCTAGCATGCCCCCTAGAATCTTCCCAGCCCAGATCGGGTGGGGGGGGGGAGGTGGGGACAAGCAGCAGGGTGATGCTTCTGGTCGGCCAGGACCACCCAAGAGACCAGCATCTGTGGCCCAACAGCCGCCTCAGCTGGGCTGGCTCTCAGGGATTGCCCAGGGGAATTTCTTTCCACCCCACTGTAGGCTATTTTCACTCTCATTCCTGTCTCAAGATGACAAATTTCCTCAGTTTGACACTAATTCTAACTAGGCCAAGGAGGTAAGGACAATTTCCCAGGGGCACACAGATCTCACAGGGTCCCACCAGGTCCCTCCTGGGCCTCCAGTCTTCTGCCCACCCCTGAGTGAGTAGCAGGCCTGGAGATCCTAGCAGCCCCGCCTCTCCTCAGCTGTACCAGGTCCTCGGGGCGGTTAGCAACTGTCAGTTGCCTTCTGAGACTGAGTCTCTGAGCCAGGAGAGGTTCAGGAAGAGCATCAATAGCTGGACAGGGAGGCAGGAAAGACTTGGATCCTTAGTGAGTTTCAGATAAATGACAAATACTTTTATAATGAAAATGTGTCCCACATACTGCATGGGTTACATTTATACTAAAAAGTTACCCATCAAATGAGACAGAATTATACTAAAAAGTTACTGAAACTAATGTGCAGTGAGTCTGGTGTGGCGCTGTGGGTTATTATTGCACTGGACTGCAAAATTGGTTTGATCTGCAAGGTCGGCAGTTCAAGCTCACCAGCTGCTCCTTGGAAACCCTATACAGGGTCGCTATGGGTACAAACTGACTCAACAGCACTTCACAACAACAATGTGCGGTGAATGTTGATGTAACAGCGACCTGTGCTCTCATTGGCTAAGTCCAAACTCCTAGCCTCTGTGACTCCAGCATCTTCCAGATCCAGTCCTGGCTCTTCAAGTGCAGGTTGCTAGCCCTGTAAGGGGCTCCTAATCCCAGCTATTGACTGCCTCCAGTGTCCCAAACATCCCTTGGAGGGTCTCAGGACCCAGGCACTCTAGGATTGGCTGGAGGTGGGAAGACTGTCTGTCTCTCCCGCTGGCAGAACTGCCCACTTCATGACTAGACTCGCCCAGTGGCAGGCCCTGAGCCTGGAATCTGAGAATGTGGACTTGGAGGGAAATAAAACTCTAGATTCGGATGTGGGAGCTTGTCCTGGGTTGTCCTGATGAGAGGCAGGCAGAGGGCAGCTGACCCAGACTGGAGAGGAGGACGTGACTATGTGATGTGGCCACAGCTCAGGATCGCCAGTAGCCAGAAGAAGCTGGAAGAAGCAAGCAGGACCCTCCCCTAAAGCCTCCAGAGTGAGGGCAGCTCTGCCTACAGCCTGGTTTCTGCTCAGTACAACCAATTTTGGACTTCCGGCCTCTAGAACTGTCAGAGAATAAACTTGTTTAAAGCCAAATCTGTATCAATCTCTCATGGCAGTCACAGAAAACCAATACATTCGGTGACACCAATGTAACTCCATGGTTGACCCACATGCTCATGTCCAGAACCCCAAAGGTCCAGGCCCTGGGCTGGGTGGGGTGGGGATATAAGAGGAGTCCGCTGGGGGTGGTCTATGCATACCACGACTGGCTCTGGGCTACTTTCTGGGAACAGGGCTGGTAGGATTGCTGGTAGAGGTTGCTGGCTGGAGTTTCTGCACCCACTTGTGGGGTACTGAGAGCGCTATCGCCGCCCACAGCTACACATGTTGGACAGAGTGGGCAAGATTGGATTTGAGGGTGGAAAGTTTCGAACCTGGTGAAGAGGGTTTGCGTACAGACCTCCCCTCGTGCTGGAAGAGCTGAGACCCCTAAACACTCTACACCTCCCCTCGTTCCAAACCCAGCTTGGGCAGTCCAGGCCAGCTGGTCTCTGGATCCCAGCCCTGATGTAGTGCCTGGTCTGGAGGTCAGAGAGCACTGTCCGCGGCCCGGGGTGCTGCCCATCCTGCCAGTGGCGTGAAGAATGATCGTCTGGCAAAAGACCAGAGATGTGGGTATACATCTAGTCGAGAGGGATGTGGGAAGAGCTCAGGGCCTGGACACCCGGAGCGGGGCGGAGCGGGACGCATAGAGGGCACGAGCCGATCTGCCAGGTCTTGACCAGGGGTCCTCCTGCACCCACACCCGACACGCAGGCGCACTCGGGCTCTGAGGGTCGCTCAGTTTATTGGTAAAACAGACACTGAGCGCGGCGGGCGCGGGACGCAGAAGCCTTGGGACAGCAGGGGGCGCTTTTCCTCTTGAAGAACTTCCACTGGACCTTGATGGCGAGCATCCAGTCGCTGACGTAGAGCCTCTTACAAGCGGAGGTGCAGACATG